TATATATATATATATAAATCACACTTGAACCTTCAAATCTAATGATAACAAAGCCACATTAAAATACATTTCTCTCTCTCAGCCAACAGTTCGGTCCTTAAACACATTCAAAATATACATATATATATATATATATAAGTTCTAGTCAGCTTTACTTTTTAAAGATTATGAGAAAAATTATCATAAAATTACGTCGTTTTAATAATTTTTTATTAAAAAAATTAAATTATCTTATTTTTAAAGCATACTTTTTTCTCCTAAATTTTTGAGAGGTAAGGCGATGAGCACTAACCCGGTATATATAAATCAAATGAGTTTTTTTCATACTGCCTCGTATAGAAGTGACGGCCACTTGCGATAATATACACCGTGCATTCAGATGATTCCAAAAAAAAGAGGCATACACCTGGTTAGTGTTTATAAAGAAACGATGTTGATGTAGGGTGAATACAAGATAACCCCTAATATCAATACTTATTTTTTTTACATTTTGATATAAAATATATTATAAATTTGTTTTTTTCAAATAAGTAAACAATATCTTATTTTATACTTATATATTTTTTACCCTTATTATTTTCCTTCTTGTTTTTGGTGAACAAGTTATGCAAAATGAACAGATGCTATGATCTGTCATTATCAGCAAAACACAAATCCAATAAGAAATTTCATCCAAACGTAGTGCATGTGAAAACCTTTTACATCATCAGAATGAGACATCATTTTAATTCCAGATACAAAAACCATTTATTTTCTTCGAAATGTCTGAATTTACACTTAAAAAACAGTACCTGTCTCAGTTTACTCATTTCCCGGTCTCCTCCACTTTCCGGGAAAATCTGTAGAATTTTCATCCAAACCCTCTAAGATTTTGCCAAAAAAAGATTAAAGAAACTCCATGGTTGGTTGAAAAACTTGGGAATTGAGGGGCCTCAATTGTAAGATTTGGACTCGAAGCAAACCAGAGAACTTTTCATTGAAGCTTCATTGAAATTGAATAGACAAAAGAGTAGGGATTCCCACCCACCATTCACCAAGGACGCAAAGGAACTTCATCCAATCATAGTGAGTTGTAAAGTCATCATGGTAATAGACAAGAGTAAGGAAGGAATCTTTTGGTTTTACAAGCCAAAAAAAAAGTTGATTAAATACAAACCAATGACATAATCTCGTCTGCAATTTCCACTCATTTTATCTGTTAATTTTTGGGAATAGGAAGTATAACTAATGTTTTTTGCTTGGTTGCCAAACACCACCTTTCTTGTACTGAACAGGTTTTTTTAGTCTCTTTTGCTGTATGGGACATCCCCACATGATAAGAAAAATGTTGCTAGAATCACCTCTCCGTTTTTCAATTTTCTGTTTTGCTGCTGAGCTCAAGATCATTTCTCTTCTTGATCTTTAAAAATAGCAATATTCCATATCTAAAAAGTATACATTATGAGATTCTACGGAGAAGAATGGCTTTTCAGCAATAGTCATAAGATAAGCCTATTGAGCTGCTAGTGCTCAAATGGCAGGCAACAGGGATCATGAAAAAGGGTAGAAATTCATTATCTAAACATGCCACGTACGCTTACAACCACTTCTAGACTCAAGTGGTTAAACAGTTGAACTTCCAAACGTTGGTTTCATCCTCTGATATATTAAAAATGAGATATGATGTCAACCCCCACTAACTTTACACCTAACTCCAATACCAATAGATTAAAATCATTTAAAACTGAATATTTATCACCACAAAAATATGAATCTCAACCTAACTCAACCAATGCTTATCATAAAGGCATTATTTATCTCTGTCTTACATCCATTAAAGCAAAAAACTAGATTCACTTTGATGGTTCAGTCAAAGTCTTTGTAATTTGCAATTTCTTCTTGTCTGCTGGTCGAGGTCCTAAAACACTTAAATCAATAGTTGCTCCAAAAACTTGAGATGATTGAACAACAGAGTCATAGGCCTTTGGAGAGAGGCCAAGGGTCTCATTGCGAGCTCTCAAATACAAGTCATATGCAAGCCTTGGTTTACCATCCTTTGCAAGAGCCTCTATTAGCATCTCGTAAGTGATCTCATTAGGAGAGATTTTCTGAACCTTCATGCGGTGAAACCATTCATATGCTGCACTGCTCATGCCATTCCGTGCACAGCCACTGATGATTGCATTGTATGTGACAACTGTTGGCTCGATACCAGATGCTGCCATATCTTTGAAGACTGCATCAACCATTTTAAAATTTCCTTTTCCAGTGAAAACTGAAGCCATAATTGTGTAGGCATACACATTTGGCTCAAGACCCACCTTGATCATATGATCCCACACTCTGAGGGCCTCATCATAGAGTTTACCCTTTTCAAGGGCACTGAGTAGTGCTACATAGGAGATGATTGTGGGCCTTTCACCTTGCTCCACCATTCTCCTGAATATCTGGATAGCAGCAGTAGTTTCCGAAGCCTTGGAACAGGCAATGAGGACGGCATTCCACTCGTTACTTCCAGGTTTAAGACCCTTCTCTTCCATCTTACTGAGCAACCTAACCCCCCATCTCCAAATCCCTCTTTTTCTAGCTGCAGCAAGCAATATGTTAAAGTGAGAGACAATCAATTCATATGACATGTTGTTAGGCTTTGGTCCCTTGTCCAGCAAATCCTCATATATCTCCAGAGCTGCCCACCACTTCTTAGCCTTCCCCATTAGCCAAATCAAATGGTTGCACACAGATAAGCGTACTTCAGAATGCCTTTCTCTAACCCTACTATACAGTTCCTTTGCAACAACATAATGCTCTTCACGGGTACAAGCCCACACAAGGCGCTCGTAGTCTTCCCTACTAAGTTCAAGCCCAGCAGTATCCATATCTGTCAAAAGTTTTAACACATTGGTGCTCAAGTTTTCATGCCTCACAAGCCATTGCCGCATAACTTGTTGACATATGCGAACTGTGAAGTTCTGAATCTTAACAAACTCTTTTTCCCAGATCTCATCAGCATCTTTTACTATTTCTCCATTTGTATACTCTTGTCTGAACTCAACAAAGAACTTAAGAGCACCATTGCCATCTTCCATTCTACGATATGCCAACAAAGCAGTAGAATAGGATACTGGGGTTGGAATAAAACCCTTCTCTTTGATTTCCTTAAGAACATTAAGGGCCTTGGTAGCTTCTCCTTGCTCTACATAAATTGCCATCAAAGTATTATATGTTACAACATCAGGGACAACCCCCTCCACAGCCATATCATTCAAGATTTTCTCCATTTCTCCAAATTGCTGAGAGTGTTTCACTGCACCTAGTAAACTATTATATATAAAAAGGTTAGGGCCAATAACACCACCACTTTCCTTTTTCTTTCTCTTCAGCCACTCAACCAGCACTATTGCAGCATTCATACAGTTATCCCTTCCAAAACCCCTAATAATGCTTGAGTACACTTGTAGGGGCAGAGCACCCTTGTCATTGAGAACCTCTTGTACATCATCTACTGTTTTAGCAAACTGTAAACCATATGCAAGGGCACGAACATCAATCCTTGCACTTTCCTCTCCAATTGCTCCCCCACCATTAACATCTACCCTTCGATTATCATCTTCATTGTCACAATCCTTATTTTCTTTCACTGTATCTAAAGTATGACCATTCACATTCTCAATCCCTATCTTCCCTGATAAATCTTTTACTGAACTAGACTCTTCTACACTAAGAAATTCATCTACTGAACAAGCTAACTTAACCAGACTGCCGGAAGAACCTTTATTCAAATCCTCAATCCCACTTCTCAAAAGAGATTTTGGGATCCTATAATAAGCCCCACTGGAACTACACCCCAAAAAACCTGAAACAAATAAGAAACGACAACCTCTAACCTTACAAACAGGGCCAAAAGAATCACGTTCCTTTCCCCTTCTAGGTCCAGTGAATGCAAAACCAGAAGACCCCAGTTTGAAATCCGATTGGGGCACCATAAAAGAGCCACCTTTTGACGACCAAATGCTTAAAGCTTGCATTTTTAGATAGAATTTACCAATACAAAGGAATACCCAGAATAAAAAATTCAATCAAAAGGCAAGGAAGCATGTTATACAAACTCAAGGCAGATTCTCCAGCACTGTTTTCTCTCTCTCTCCTCACATCAAGAGAAGTTGAAATAGAAGGAGCTAGAGAATTTGGTAGTGGCTCACTGGAATTTTCATGGACGGAGAAAAATGGATTCATGCCCCAACCCGCAAAATGAATCTCAGGAACAAAGAGAGAGAACTCTGGAATTTGGTTTATCTTTCCAGCCGCCGTTCAATTGATGCCACCTGCCAGTAACCTCTGTGTGGGTAGAAAATAGAAATGGGTTTTGAGGCGTTCGGTTCGGACCCAAAATGGAGGCCCAGTTAATGATATTCTTATTCTTTAATGGGCCTCAGCCTAACTAAAATGGGCCTTTAGTGGCTTGAAATTTTGAAATAATCAAGGACTGCTAGGCCGCTACTCCAGTCCTCATCTGTTCAATTTATCGGAGTGTTTTTTAATTAAATATTTGAGAAAAGGGAAAATGAGGAATGCTAGGAGATTTAATAATAACTAAATGATAAATTTGATAAAATTATTGCTCATACTATATCTTACATATTTAATAATTATAATTAGATGTATTGGTATTTGAAACGTCGTAACCTCCTAATTTTTCATTTTCTAAAATATTTTAATTTTTAAAATAGTTGATTAAAAAATTTCTGTTTAAAATAATCATTAAATGCTTTTTATTAAACATTTTTTCAATTTTATTCTCTTCTTCAATTCATA